ACAAACCGGCATTTTTATTTCTGGAACTCCCTGCCACTCTTGTAACCTTGTTAGTCTGTGCCGCCCTAGAGTGAACACAGTCCAAATTGGATTTGGCATCGTGTTGTCCCTGAGGCCAGCGGGGCCTCAGCTTGCCACCCCTGGAGTCTTGGCCTCTTCCTAACTTGCTTTCTAAAAATTCACAGCCTTCTGCCTGTTTCCTCTGCTTCCTCTTGGGATCCCCATTTGTCCTGCAGTGTTTTCTCCACTCCCAGGGCCTGTGTTTGCTCCTGGTGTGTCGACTCCATGGCTAGATACTCTGGTGCTGCTCACCTCTTGATTAACAGCTCCTGCTTCCCTGTTTTCTTGCCCTTGGTGAAGGAAGCCCGCAAAGTGAGGATACAGCTCTGCAGGAGTGGAGTGGTACTGCATCCAGGTGGATGCAGATGACAGTTTCTTGATTCTGAGTTACCCATCTTTCTTTGCGTAGAACGTCTCACTAGGACAGAGGTAGTCAAATGGTTCTCTCGAGCTCCTTTGCTTTGGCACAGCACCCTTCAGTTTGTAAGGGGCGTCACAGCAGTGTTCAGATTTGATTTGCATAACAACCCTGTGGGTACCATGAACGGGAGTTTATCACGTTTACCATGCACATCCATGAGCTCGCATGGAACCTCCCTCTCGAAGGATGTTTTTGACCCAATTTTATGGATGAGAAAATTGTGATTCAGAGACATTCAGTCCTTGGTCCACCATCGCCCAGCTTATGCGTGGTAGCATGAGATTTTAAAGAAGTCTTTCTGACCCCCAGTCTTTGCCCCTGACTGTGGGCTGTACTATTCCAAGTATTGAGAAGTCCAATGTACAGAGGAGTAAACTGAGGGTGCATCAGGGAATCTGGGAAATTCCAGGTCGTACAGTGAGTAAACTTGAATTCAGGACCTTTTCCTGCATGCTCAGAGCCTGTCCCCAAAGTCCTGTACCCCACCACATGTTCAGGGTCTTGGGACATAGTGCTGCTCAGACTGGTGCTTGTAACATCACCTGAGCTTCTACCGTGTTTTGGGCGAGGTCCCCTGAGCCCTTCATGAGCCCAGTCTGGGGACATGTGTTTCAGTTGGTCAGTGGCACAGTGAGCCCTTGGATACTGGAATTCTCCTTTGGCCAGGTCTTCACAATGAACTTCCAATCTGTAATGGAAGCTATATGATTGGTGGCTCAGCTGAGGTCAGGGCGAATAGGGAGCCTACGCCCCATCAGGAGGGCTGAAGCCACTCCCCTGGGATCATACCAAATGGCAAGGCCAGGGTCGAAAGAAACAGGATCATCAAGCTAAAGGGCCTCTCAAGCTCAGCCCTTGTCAAAGCCAGGCAAGGGAGGCGGGTAGTGTTCTTTTGTACAAACTTCTGGAGGTTTCTCATGCTGGGACGTCGACACGTGAAATTGCCTAGGTAATTTGAGAAGGGGGATGTGAGGCTGGGCAGGGGGTCATCAAGCCTTTGGTGCTCCTGTCTCTTCCCACCCTGATCAGAACCCTGCAGCCATGCTGACGATAGTTTGAATCTCAGCCGCACTCCCTTGGGTAATGGACCACCTGTCTCTGTGCCTCAGTTTCCTCACTTAACATAGGACAATGATGCTGAATGCACAATTGTAAATCTAAGTAACAGAGCATTATGTGAAGTGGTCCTGATTAAGAAGGATTTGGGGACTCAAGACAAGTGTGGAATAGGCATTCAGAGGTAGAAGTTCAAATCATTCTGCCATTCATTCCTTTGTTTATTCATTCAACATTAAGTATACCCTTTCTGAATGCCGTTGACAAAAGCAATAGCTAACAACCTGTGAGCAGTAACTGTGTGGCCACACTGCACTAAATACTTAGCCTCACTATGACCCAATGAGGTGATGCTGTGAATACTGCCCACATTTAACCAATGACAAAAACAAGGCTCTGAAAGGTAAGTGACCTAGTCAAGGTCACACAGCCTCTAAGTAGTAGAACCTGGACTCAAATCCTGTTACTCTGAGGCCAGCTCTTAGCCGCTTTGCCAGATACCACCGGAGGGCTCTGGAGGCAAAGGATGGGGCTAAGGTGTGGATTATGAGCTGATCCAGGACCACCGGGGTGACCAGGGAGGGTTCTTGGGGTGCGATGGGGGCAGGGAGTGGTGGTGGTGGTTGTAGGTGGACAGGTTGGTTAGGCCTTGTGTTTTCCAGGTCAGTGTTGGTCCTGGGATCTGACCACAGGGTCAAACACCTGTAATTGAGGTGGGCAGAAGGAGCCAGGGAGGAAGGGCTCTGGACCAGGCAGGGCCTGACCCTTACAGCATGTGAAACCCCCAGAGATGAGCAGATAGAGGACTGAGTCCGGCAAGATTTCCCCAAGGCATCAATGGGCCGTAATTCAAAGCTTCTCTGAAGAGGCCTCGGGACATGCCCATTGAATCTGGGATTTGAAAACTGTGTTTTCCTTTTCCCTTCTCAGGCTTCCCTCCCTCTTCGTGCACCCTCCCATCTTCCCCATTTGTTCCTTCCCCTCCCTTTGGTCCTTGAGAACTGCTGTGCTGTCAAATAGCCAGTGGGTGCGCAATGAAGAGCTGGGTTCAAATCCCTGCTTGACCACATCCTGGCCTCTTGGCTCCACTTGGACCCAGGATCAAAACCTGTGTGACTTTAGTCAAGTTACTTAACCTTTCCGAACCACCTTTCCCTCATTTCATTTATGGAACAGAAACTGTAGCCCCTATCACATAGGACTGCCTTGAAGATGAAATGAAAATAGCATTAAGCAAAATTAGGAAGGAGACGCTCTGTTATTGTTTTTACCAAGTGTTAGTGTTCTTCCTGCCTCCTTTCTCTCTTCACTCTTCTTTCCTATTATCTCTTTCCTTCTAAATTTCTTCCCGCCTCACTTCCTCCTTCTGTCTCCTTCCTTTCGTATCTCTGATGCAAAAAACTGACAAGTAATACCGGGTCACACATGGTATCTAGACACGGAACAATCACTATTGTATGACTGTGGAGGAAAAAGGATCAGTTCTTGTTTTCCTAGGGCTCTAGACACACATGCATTTTACATATATTTTATTTGACAGATTGCACACACATATACATAAATACACATACTTACAGCTTTGTTTGGTTTGTGTGTTTGTTTTTAAGTTCTGACATCCAGAGAAAGCTTCCTGGGGATCCCTCTAGAGGACTTGGCTGCCGAAGTCAACGCTATCAGCCATCCCTGTGTATCTGGCCACCTCTTGGCCCTTCCCTACCCCACGGGGAGGTGATGACTTCTAGCTCAGCGAGCTGAGGGCCTTGCAGAAAGAACACGATCATTTTCTACTGTAGTCAGCAGGAGAGCTGAGTCATTTTGGTAAATAATGTTCTTCTTGGCCTAAACAGGTACCTTCAAGAGTAGATTCCCCCCCCCAAGATAATGTAGTCAGGGTTAACATCTGTCGTCTGTGTTAGATGTGAGGCAGGTAGTTGTCGGAAATCATGCTTTCCTTCAATGAGATCATAGTCAAGGAAGAGCAGTCAGCCACATGGGTGTGGTTGAAAGAGTATAGGCTTTTGAGCTAAAAAACAAAACGAAACAAAATAAACACAAAACATGAGCTTCAGATCTTGCTCTGCTCCTCGCCACGTTGGTATCTGAGTCTCTTGATTTCTGAATCCTCCTCCCCCAGGTCACAAGGGTGACCCTTCCCAACTCCAGAGATCACACAGCAGGGACTCGGCAAAGTGGCTTCTAGTCCCCCAGACGTGAAGCGCAACATATGGTGAAGAAAAGCAAGATAACCAAGGGGCCTCCCCCTGTTCATCGGAGATCTTTCTGGCTCAGAGCGAATAAGGGAGGCGAGGAGAAGGCAAACCTTCCCTCTTGAGCCCTTGACAGGTGTCGTGGGGAATATAGACGTGTTTTGCCAGTGCCCCGGCCCTTAAGGGAAGCTCACAGAGCACGGCATTTCATGACTCTTGTGAATCATAAGATGTGTTCAAAACACTTTAGACTACTTCAGTTTAATGTATGGTATGCAGACTCAATCAAATATTTACCAGTTGGGTATATTAAAGAAAAATAACTTCAATTTGCCTTAAGCTTCTGATTAAAGGAGCCCAAGAAATGTTCATTTTTTCATTCGTTCATTCATTCATTCACCAAATATTTATGAAGCGCTTACTTTGTCCCGAGACCCTTGTTGGGAATCGAACATTAAAAGAGTAGTATTTCTGGGGCCAGCCCAGTGGTGCAGCAGTTAAGTTCGCACATTCTGCTTTGGCAGCATGGGGTTGGCCGATTCGGATTCCAGGTGTGGACCTATACGCCACTTGGCAAGCTATGCTGTGGTAGGCGTCCCACATATAAAGTGGGGGAAGATGGGCATGGATGTTAGCTCAGGGCCAGTCTTCTACAAAAAAAAGACTAGTGTTTCTGATAATGAAGGAAATATACACTATACAGAAATTATTTGACTTAATAATGCTATATTATATTTGCAGCAGGATGGAAGAAAGGCTACTATCCCTTGAGCCCTCAGTGGGCTCATTCTAGAGATGAGGAAGCAAGGTTGAGAGAGTGTAAGCAAATGTCCTGAGGTCACTTAGCTAGTGGGAGGCAGAATCAGGACTCAGACACTCACTTGAGTGAAGCCCCAGCCCTGACTATTCCCAAGGTTTAGTAGTCTGCATTGCTCTGATGTGACCGTTAGCCATCTCATTTGCTTCTTAAGGCAACCTTATGAAGAAGAGAGGTCAGGGATTCTTACTCATCCTGATGTGAAGAGCAAGGCTCAGAATAGTCAAGCCGTTTGCCCAAGGTCACACAGCTGGTGGTGAGGAAGCCAGGTTTGGAAACAGCATCTCTCTGGCTTTGAAACCGTGACTGGTGGTTCCTGAGTCTCTATGAGGCCAACCCGGGGATCTGGGCTGGGTGTGGTGGACAGGAAAGTCCCCTCTGGCCCTCTAGCCCAAAGAACAGAGGCCCATTTGCTTGTCCTCCTTCCCTTCTGCTCCAGGGCGGTCTCATTGCGTTGCTGCTGCTGCTGCTGGTGTTCACCGTGGCGCTGTATGCCCAGCGGCGCTGGCAGAAACGTCGTCGCATCCCGCAGAAGAGCGCCAGCACGGAAGCCACGCATGAGATCCACTACATCCCGTCGGTGCTGCTGGGTCCCCAAGCCCGGGAAAGCTTCCGCTCCTCCCGGCTGCAGGCCCACAATTCCGTCATCGGCGTGCCCATCCGGGAGACCCCCATCCTGGATGACTATGACTATGAGGAGGAGGAGGACCCACCCCGGCGGGCCAACCACGTCTCCCGGGAGGACGAGTTTGGCAGCCAGGTGACCCACACGCTGGACAGCCTGGGCCGACCAGGGGAAGAGAAAGGGGACTTTGGGAAGAAAGGTGAGTCCTCCTTCTTGCATCCCACCTTCCAGGGGGCGTTTTGGGAAGCTGGGAAGAGGCACAAGAGCTGGGCAGTGGGGGTCACAGGCAGTGTCTTCTGGGCTAAGCCATTTTGGATTTATGGCCCAAATCTGATAACTTGGTTGAATTATCAGAGTTTGTCTGCTCCAGTTCTTCGATAGTGATGGGAGAAAGAAAAGACTGTCAGTTTTCCTGGAATTGGAGTTTTGAGGAGCATCAGAAGGTATGCAGTCCAACATCTCTCCAGTGATTCTTGATTACCTCCCTTGATGGCCTTCTCACTACTCAGGAAAGCGCTCATTGCATTTCCAGACGATGTTGACTATTAGAAAGTTTTCTCTTATACTGAGTTGAAATCTGTTTCCCTGGTCCTTCATGTCCACAAAGAAAGTGAATCTGATCTTTCTTCTCCAAGGCAGCTCTTGCAAAATTTGACAACAGAAAAAAAGACACCTATAACTTCTAGAAATCAATCTCAATAAACAATCCCAGTTTCTTCAGCTAGTCCCATGTGACATATTTTTTAGACATTTCACCATCCTGGTCACTGTCCTCTAGATGCAGATTCTAATTTTTGTATCCTGGAGCACAGCACGAGAACCGACCCTCCTCTTCTTCAAGGTGGGAATGCTCGTCTGCTGAGCAAAATAGGAATTTCACCTCCTTCTTGCCAGCTGTTATGCTTCTGTTGATGCAGCTTGAGATCACATTTGTATTTTGCAGCTATTGCTGGCTCATACTGGACTTTCTGATGACTAAAACCTCTCACTCTTTTTCATATATGCCGTTGCAAAGACCCATTCCCTTTGTTCTGTCAGAGGACAATTGATTCTATGGACCTATGCAGAGGATGTGTTTATATCTGTCTTTATTAAGTGTCTATGGCTGTAGCTTGTTTATAGATGGATTTTGGCTGTTTTCCTTTACATAAATGCTACAAAGTTACCAGGAAGGATTACTGATGACAGGTAAGTGAACGCCAAGGAGAGGGTCCAAGAAGCAGCTAATACAGGCATGTTCTGCCCCCCACCCCCCATTCCTCCATCAAGCTCCAGATGGAGAACAGCAAACATCTTCAAAGTGGGGAAGTGGATTCGGGGGGTGGGTCACTGCCAATCATCCTGTTTGACCTCCTTTCCTTACTCCCTGCCTCGCTCCATTCCTTCCCTCCTTCCCCAAGCTTGAAGGCAATACAAATGGCAATAAAGAGTCTGAATTCAGGAGGAAGAATGATACAGAATTAAGTTTACCATCCAGCATTACCAGCTCTGTGACCTTGGACAAGTCACATACTCCTCTCCCATCCATAGGGCATGACACTAGCATTCTACCTTGCAGTGTGGTTGGGAAACTTAAATGAAATAACACATGTAAAGTGTCTGGTACCCAGTAAACGTTTAATACACGTTTCTGTTATTGTTATTCATACCATCCACATTTAAAGTCGTTATACTGTGCCAGACGCCATGATAGACCCTGGAATAGAAGTGAGGAACGCAGCACCTCTGCCCTTCAAGATCATTACAGTAATTCTCCTGGGAGAAAAATGGGGTGAGTAGGAGACTGAGGCCGAAGTTTGAATAGTCCTGGATCTCTCTGTGCCACACAATAAGGATGTGACAGACCCAAGTAAGAGCCTAGATCCCTGTCACCAAGCTCCAGGCTCCTGGCCAGAAAGAAGCCTTGCTGTAGATAGCTGTCATGCTCAGAAGGGCCCATGTGACACAGAGATGATAGTTTGTTTAATTGGGAGTTGGAGCCTGCCTTCCAGATCCTATGCTCCTTAAAGAGAACACAGTCTTTCCATTCCAGCTACTGTGCATTTCAGCTGCCTGCCAAGCCTTTCTGAGTTACTCTTGTGGATGGGGGGTAGATACCTGACTCCTGTATGACAGAGATGACACAGGGGACAGAATTGTGCCAGATGCAGAGGCTACACAAGACGAACTCTCAAGAAGTAGGGGAAGTTGCTCGTGGCCTCCTCTCCCACTTGGTGTACCCCAGAGCCTGCACACTTTCAGTCCTACCTCCACATCATAGCTTAGAGATGACTCTTTCCCTTGTATTTTCTTTCAAGAACTCTATTCAAACAACAAGAAAGCGAGGCCCTTATTTTCTGAAATCTCAGCAGTAGCATTGAGAGGCAGCAAAGAAAAGTGCAAAGAGAATGAGTGGTGCATGCATGAGAAATAAGACACAGTCCTGGCCATGCAGCCTAGTGGAGCTGAGGTGAGCAGACTGACGTTGAACCTTGCTCCTCAGTTCACTGGCTGCATGGCCTTGGGCAAAGCTCTTAGCAACCCTGCATCTCCATGCCTTCATCTCCCTTGGATTCGTCTGACCAAATTATTTTTTTCAATGTTCCTCCAAGTAGTCTTTAAAACAAAGAGAATTTGAAATAACAGAAAGCATTCATATCATACTGTATCCCAGCCACCCTTAGCTTTGATAAAGCCAGGAGAGGGAGAAACGTAGGCAAGAAGAAAGTAGAGGGCACACTTTTCCTGACTCCAGGCAGTATACCGGTCACCCTATCCATGAGGTGACTACTAGGGGCTGTTCTTATGGCATTATGGTCCCTGAGGACCTCGTCCTCCTGGCCTGGACAGAAGAGGGACAATCCCACTGGCAGATTGCAGATCTGACAGCAAGAGCTCAGACCAAATGCATATTCTGTTGTCTCAGCTGGCCCTTGGGAGAAAACCATGAGGCTCTCTCTTTTATGGGTGACCTGGGCACAGCCATGCATTTTGTCAAGAGTGGGCGGGTATTCAGAGGCTGGCCAGTCCATACAAAAAGTAATCCCACAGCCCTTTGAAGTGACATTGCCAGGGGCCACTCCCACTTGCACATTTCACACTTAAAAATTTGCCTATAAATTCAAGCTGCTTCAACATACCTGAGCTCTGTCAGCCTGCTTTTCAGCTTGGACCCGCAAATAACAGAGGGGACAATCTCTGTTGAACAGAAGGAAGAAGTTTCATTACCAAGCGACAACTGCTTGGGTTCCCAGGCCCCAAGACCATTGTACTGAGCAGCTTTGACATTCAGCTGATAGACATCCATGTGGCTGTACCTTTTGTTAAATACTGAAAATTTTCTGTGCCCATTGATAAGTAGCTCACTGCCCTGAGCCCCTCCCCAAGGACCCTCCTGACATCTCCACTGTCCAGGAACAGAGTGGCTTTAGAAGGCTGCTCCAGTATTATGGCTGGCATCCCGTCCTGCTCATTAGTGCCTGTGCCTTAGAAGGTCTCAGGTATTGTGAATATCACCCCTGGTATCGCCTTAACAAGTTGCTGAGAATTTAATCATGTCAATATGAGAATGCTCAGCACTGTGTTTGGTACATAACAGAAACGTGATAGATTTTAATTCAGTTCTCCTTATCTGTCCTTAAATTTATGTTTTCCTTCCCTGAATATTATGCATGGAAGCTTAAGGAAATTAAAATGGCAAATTTATCACTTTATCAAGGGATAGGGTAGGGGATGGCTGAATGGATATTGGATTTTCTTAATTTTGTTTTATTATGGTGAAAGAAATGTATGCTCTTTGTAATAGAAGGAAGAAAAGGAAGGAGGGAGAGAGGAAGAAAGAGAGAGAGAGAGAGAAAGAGTTATATAAAGCAATAACTGAAAGGCCTAGCCTTGTCTTCCCATCCTATCCCAGTGACAGGATCCAAAGACCAATCCTTGATGAGATAATAGTTTGATTTATATTCTTCTAGCATTTTCCAATGCATACATTTCTGGATGTATATATGGTGTATATCCGGATGCACATGTATGCTAACGGGGCCATCTCCACGACATATATCATTCTGTAGCCATTTGATAGTTTACTAGATAAACAATGTATGGAAAGCATCTTTCCATGTCAACCATGCATACCTATCTCATTCTTTTTGGATCCCATGATGTGAACATACCAAATACACCAACATTCACTTTACCATCCCCTGTTGTGGACCATTATCTCAATTTTCTGTACTTACAATGAATGAGTAAACATCCTTGTACGCGTGCGCGCACACCTGTATATATTCTTGCAAAGTGTGAGACCGTTTCTGTAAGACAGTTGCCTAAAAGCAGAATCACTGCCTCAAAGGGTGCACATTACACATTTGGAATGACAAATTACACATTTGTAATTTTGGTAGGTACTGCCGTATTTATTCATTTTTAAAATTTGTTTTATACACTCAAGGTGGGGAACATATACTCTCCCACATAGATCTACACAAACAACCCATGGCCCCATCACATTCATGATCCGTATATTATCACGGACCCTTCGGGTCTTATCTATATAGTTGCTATCATTTTATATGTACAACTTTCTCTTTCAATTTTTTCTTTTCTAACTAACATTGGTCCACATTCTTTTCTTTGCCAAAAGCCATTCCTCCTAGTTACCCTGAGTAATGGTTCTTTTCATGAAGTGATGCAGAATAAAGGCTTTTCTTTGCTCCCCTACTTCAGTTCAGGACCTAGGGTGGAGGAAGGAAAGAGAATGGCATCGGATACCAGCAGTGGCCCACAGTGATAGATGGGGAGTCTTGGTCTCTGACATGGGGCTGGTAGGCTAACCCTTATTGCTGCTCAGAATTCCAGACCAGAAAATCTCGAGGTGGGTGGAACCCTTGTTGAGAGGACGGAGAGGAAGGGATTTTTATTGAATGAGAAGCTCTGTAAGACCCCAGCTGCTGTCCAATACATTATCTCGTTGAGCCATTTGTAATTAACCCTGGGGGGAAGGTGGCTGGAAGGCTTGGCTTGGAAACCAATGCTGTTGATGTTGTTGCTGCTACTGCTCTTGATGACAACTGACCTCTACTTATTGATAACTACTGTTCTGGGAACTCTCCGTGAATTATGTCACTTCCACCCCACAATAACCCTATGAGTTATTTACCAATATTGCCCCTACTCTTCCATGCAGGAGACTGAATCAAAGAAGGGTTAGGTAACTTGTCC